ATTCCACTTTGTCTAAATCAGTGTTTTCCAAGCTTACAATCAAAATTATAAAGTAGAATTTTCACATTTCGTATAAATCTATGATTTTAGTTCAATTCTACTTTGTCTAAATCAATATTTATTTGAATGAAACAATGATTTTATATCAATTTTAGCATATATCAAATTTACTATAAAAAAATATTTACGAAAATTTTACCATTTAAAATAAATCAATAATTTTAGAACAAATTGGACTTTTTTTAAAACTTAAATTAAAAAAAACAATAAAAATGTTACAAGCATTTTACAATATACAATAATTACAATATTTTTATATCAATTTATCCTGAATATTATTATCGAAGTATGCGAATTTATTGTAAGAAAGTGATTAAATACCTTGAAACTGCGTACAAAGTAATAAACTCACAAGTCGCAGATACATATCAATTTAGCAGTTTTTTTTTGTTGTTTGTCACAAAGCGGATATTTTATTTTGTTGCTAGTACGCGCAAGCCGTTTGATAAAGACCTCAATTAGATAGTCGCACGTTACGCAATGAATTTGAAAAAGTAAAAGAAAAGCTTAATAATTATGATTATTCCATTAATAAATTAGAAATAAACAAACAAGCGTTTTATGTAATCCATGTAAATCAGGTGTCCACAATTATCGAACGACATGGGAAATAAGTAGAACAGATCGAAAATGCATATAAATAATTGTTTATTAGTATAAATTGTAATAGTAGCAATGTATTTTCTTGTAGAAGAAACAGGTGATTTCACTTAGATAAAAGCTGTGTTCTAAATTTATATAATTTATGTTTATTTCTTAACAAAATGTGGATTTCATTCCTAAAGTTTTATTTTAAACTACCCATTTTTATAGTATATATAACTAAATTAAGTTTGATTATAAATTTCGACAAAATTATGCAAAATACAAAATTTAATAAAAAAAATCTTATTTATATTATTTCAATTATCATATTTTTCAATGTAATTTCAGTTACTTTTGAAAATACATAAATTTCATTCATTTCTCATCTTATTTTGTATTAAAATCTCCACAAATTCCAGAAATGATACAGCACAAATAAAAAATTATGTCAATTTTAACTATTTTTTTAGACAATTATAAGAAAAATGTACGTATTTTGTACAAAAATACTCAAAATGCAGCAAAATTATAAAAAAGCAAATTTTTGCAGACTTTTTTTTCCATTTCTACTAGTTCAATATTTTTAATCAGAAAAGTATTTACTTCATCGTATATTTAGAAAACTGAAATTGTTTAAAATTTGAATACAACCAGATAATAGAGTCATATTAATGTATGAATATTTCATGAGGTTAATGATATTCCAATGTGACTTTTATGGTTTATTTAAAACAAAAAAAGTAAAACAGAATTGTTAATTAAGTTCTAGAAATAACTGTAACCTTTATATGGTTGATTTGATTCACATAATTATATTCCATACATATTTTTACAAATAACATTTTCAAATTTCCATTTTTTTTTAAATATTTATGACTTTTTAGATAATAGAAACTTCACACATATAATTGCAAGTAGTTGATTATTTACTTCATGATCTTTAAACTGTAATAATTTAGTTCTTTTATAAATGATTGCTTTGAAAAAACCTTTAGATGTCTTCTTTCAATGTGTCTAAAATTATCAATGCATTATAGAAGTATATACAAACTAATCATCATCAAATAAAGATGATTACATGTATGAATTATGTATAAAATGTGCTTGTGAATAACGTAAATTTAGCCACTTAGTTTGCTAAAAACTATTGCCTAATAAGCTATTCGCTATTTTTTTTTATAAATTCCACTCATAATAATTACACGGTATAATTTCGAACAAAGTGTGCTTTTTTCTTGTATTTTTAAACGCCTCGAGGTATAATATAAGTGTTAATTTCTCGAATATTTTTTTTATTAATAAACTTGTATTCATTTCTGTTTCTGTTCGTGTATTTGTTATGTTAACCAAGAAGAGGATTTGTAATTTTGTGCGATCACGCGTATTTTAATTGAGGCCATAAAGCGGAATCGCGTGGGTTGCACACTGACCCAGTGCGAACCAGAAGAAGAGTGTGTGTGCGCTTTTCTAAATCCGACAGTTTACTCGAAATATCAGCATAGAAGTCGTGATGATTCCAAAGAAAACGCACACACAAAACCAGTGAAAGTTAATTTCGAGAATGAAGACAATAACAACAAAGCAAAGCAAATAAATATTTATTGGGTTCGGAGAGTGGCTCTCACGTCCCGGATTGCGTAATCCGAGCTTTTATCAAATCGATCGAGGATACCGAATGAAGGAATTTGGTGGAAATTGCGAAGGAGTTTTCGCTCGACGCTGTTTTCGTCTGTATGTGTCTGTTGCATTAATGCAATTTGACTAAATGGCTTTGGCTCTCGGTGTCGTAACCTAATACAGTGGAATCTCGTTCCACTTCGACACTTTTGCCTTCTGGCCGTTCGCAATTACGTACACAGTATTTCCAAGATCGTGCCTCGAAACGAGCGAATACATTCGGTGATGGAAACGCGGCGGACGGAACAACAATAAAAGGCATGAAAAGGTACACGCGAAATGCGAGCCAATTTATGGAGACCAATTTTGGCCGACTTACGCAACTGACACCTGTCACTCGATCGCATTAGAACGCATGTCGTAATCTCAAAGTTCCAAAAAAAGTAGTAAGAAAATGTATTATTATTATTGTTAATTAATATATATTTAAACTAAAATGTTTATAAAAGTTTAAGTAAAATATAATTATTATTCAAATCACACTCAAGTAATTAATTGTTATACAACACATAGTTATCAAAATAATTATAATTCCCTAAATTCAATTCCAAATGTTTATATTATTTATAAGTAATGTTAAGGAAACTGTGTTTTTAAAAGTTTTACTGAACTTTACTTCGAGTATTTGAAACTTATTTATATATATTACATGTTTAGTTACATGAAAAAACATAATATCTGATGTTAAAGTCAATTCATTTATATTTATTCAATACATATTTACATTTTTTCATAACTGTGGAACATTTGTTGAGACGTAAAAGTTATTTGATGAAATGTGTATTTACAAGCCGGTGTTTTCGGTGATGAAATCGCGCATCTCAGGAACGCTAGAGTAAACTCCTGGATAGTCTGGACGGGCGCATCCCATTCCCCAGGAAACGACACCGACGAGTTCACCATTGACGACCAATGGACCACCGGAATCTCCCTGGCAAGCGTCTTTGCCACCTCCTGGAACGGCGGCGCAGATCATGCGATCGGTGACTGGGTTGCTTCCGTATGCTTCTTGGCACTCTTCATTATCGACGATGTTGACCTTAACGGCTTGCAGTTGAGACGGAGAAGAGCCTCCTTCCTTGAGAGCACCCCATCCGGAGCAAACGGCTTCAGCACCAGCTGGAACTGGTTGAAGGAACTTGGGCAATGGAATGGTGTTGATGCCGGAACCCAAAGAAAGAGATTCGGCCAACTCCAAGACGGTGATGTCATAATCGATGTTCCAGGCATCGTATTGTGGGTTCTGGTAGACGGTCTTGACTTGGACCACAACACCACCGGATCCCTTGATGGAGGAACCAGCGCGGACGCTCAAATCCTTGGCGGAGGAACCATCTGTGCAATGGGCAGCGGTAACTGCAAATTTCTCGCTGATGATGGAAGCGCCGCAAATATGGCTTCCGTAGTACAGCAAGGACAGTTGGTATGGATAGTCTTCGATGTTGACATCTTCACCACCGACGATGCGACCATCCAACTGAGGGATTCTTGGGTTGGCGGCTGAGGCCGCAGCTACGAGAGCAGATATTAATACAAACTTGAACATGTTGCTTGTGATGGTTTGTTTCATTTTTCAGTTCCCTTTTATACACCAAAAATGTCTGGTTTTTATCTTGCATGTCACGATTACATTTACAATCTAAGAAATATTGTCCATTAAAAACAATATGTATATAAACAAACAAAAGATTTGCTAAATTTATGTTATGAGATTTTGGAATAAACAATTCGTTGCGCCGATTTCCGATTAGATTAAAAAAAATTCACAAATATTTAAGATACAAGCTTTATCTGATAGACTTTTCTCAATTACTTAATTGCATGGAATTAAGACCGCAGACAAAAGAAATGAATAAAAATTATGTAATTTGCATAAAACAGAGAATAATTATTTATTAATTCCTTCAAATGTTAAAATAAAAAATAAAAATATTGGTAATATAAAAAAAATTGTTTTTATTTTATGAATAATAAATTTATAAAATATATTGGAATTTTTGTTCTTTTGTTTTAAATATTCAGATAATCTTGGTCCATATGTAATAATAAGGCTGTAAGGATTAAATAATTTGGTCAATAGATCTTTAGTAGAAGAAACCACTGCATTTTATAATAACACTACAATGGCTGCATAAATATTGGGGAGGAAAATGTAATATCACGACAATTTTTTAATCAATTATTTCAGATAAGAAAAATACTTGTCTTATAATTATTTTCAAAAATTATAGAAAATGAATCATAATTTTTAATATTATTACCGAATGTAATTATATAATATTAATTATCCATTATTAAAATTAATACTTTGTCCAATTATTAAACTATAATATTGAGTACTTCTATAAATATTATGAAAATTGATTTGATTTTCTGTTTTCCAATCTCTTTATTTTTATGTAGAATGTGAATGAAACAGGCTACCTGTTTAATTTTTTATAATTATTGAAATAAATATTATTTATTAAGTTTTTTGTTTTTATTTATCTAAAAGATAATCAGCAGAGTAAAACCTCCTGATTCAATAAATTTTAAATATGTATTTTTGTTTATATTTTTGTTGTTGACAGGATAACATTTTGTAGATTGTACTTGTAATCATAGTATGTAAGATAAAAACCAGACATTTTTGGTGTATAAAAGGGAACTGTAAAGTAAATCAAATTATCACAAGCAACATGTTTAAGTTTGTATTAATATCTGCTCTCGTAGCAGCGGCCTCAGCCGCCAACCCAAGAATCCCTCAGCTGGATGGTCGCATCGTCGGTGGTGAAGATGTCAACATCGAAGACTATCCATATCAACTCTCCTTGCTGTACTACGGAAGCCACATCTGCGGTGCTTCCATCATCAGCGAGAAATTCGCAGTTACCGCTGCTCATTGCACAGATGGTTCTTCCGCTAAGGATTTGAGCGTCCGCGCTGGTTCCTCCATCAAGGGATCCGGCGGTGTTGTCATCCAAGTCAAGACCGTCTACCAGAACCCACAATACGATGCCTGGAACATCGATTATGACATCACCGTCTTGGAGTTGACCGAATCTCTTTCTTTGGGTTCCGGCATCAGCACCATTCCATTGCCCAAGTTCCTTCAACCAGTTCCAGCTGGTGCCGAAGCCGTCTGCTCCGGATGGGGTGCTCTCAAGGAAGGAGGCTCTTCCCCGTCTCAACTGCAAGCCGTTAAGGTCAACATCGTCGATAATGAAGAGTGCCAAGAAGCATACGGAAGCAACCCAGTCACCGATCGTCCATTGGTCGTCAATGGTGAACTCGTCGGTGTCGTTTCCTGGGGAATGGGATGCGCCCGTCCAGACTATCCAGGAGTTTACTCCAGCGTTCCTGAGATGCGCGATTTCATCACCGAAAACACTGGCTTGTAAACATACATCTCATCATATTACTTTTATGTCTCAACACATGTTCTACAGTAATGAAAAAATGTATTAAATAAATATAAATTAATTGACTTTAACACTAGAAGTTCTTTTTTTATGCAACTTATTGTATATACTTCCAACATTGCACCTGATACCTTGTTCGTAAACTCTAAGAGACAAATCAATCCTTACCCCGGAATATTCCTCTGCATTCGGTCAGCCTCTTAGCATATAAGGCGACACTTTATACTTTTACGTTAGATTAAGCAGAAAGCAGTATACAACATGAATGATATTTATATGTAAAAGTTTTCTATACTTAATAAAACATTTGTAACCCTTTTATATTAGTCATAATTCTAGCCCTAGTTGTAGCTAGACTCATATTAGTTCTAGTATAACTCTTGAACAGCAACTTATGATTGTTAGTAACTGGAAGCTACAAGTGTTAAATAAATATTATTTTATAAGTCGACTTCTACCTAGCATTTACCATAAAAACTAAGACATCACATCGAAAAAACTACATATGTTATTATTCCACAGTATCCAGAGATATTACATCTCGAGACACGACAACTCAACCACCATATGTCGTCAAACAAATACTTTAAAATGAGTTTTAAATAAATCTTGCAACAAAATCGATGTTTTTTTATCTTATATTGAAATTCAAACTATAAGTGTCTAGAAATTCTACACAACTATTTTTTCCAAAAATTATAATAATTCTATTATTGCAAATCGTGGAAAGAAAAGCAAGTTTGTTAACACAAAAATATATTTGCTTCGCAATACTTTTCAATATATTCTGTACAAATTTTGTCGTATACTATTTATTTTACAATCTATTCCTGTGAACATTAAGTAAACCTTATAGCGGTTGACATTATTGGAGAATTTCAAATAACAGTATAACAAGACCCGTTTATTAAATCATATAAAAATGATATAATAGAAGTTCCTGAAAACACACTCAACTTCTACGTAAAATTGTTCATTTTATGGCCTGGAAACTACGGTACTTTGTATAAGAAAACTGTTTTTCATAATATTTGCTCAACATAATTATAATTCAATTTACTTATGCGAATTAGATATGCATATTAAAGTATATAAAATAAATGTTATTCCTTTTTCGTCTGCATTTTTTTTTGTGAAAATTAACTGAAAGAACATTTGACGTAGAAAAACTACATAGAACCATATAAATTCTGAAAGGATGAAATGTTTAAGTTGCGTGCAAAAATAGAAAGTGTAAAGATTTAAATTGTGTATACAGTTACAAATTTAATAATTAAGAATATGTTATAATCAAAATATAATATTTTAAGTAAGAAGTAATTAATCATCTTATTTAAATATTAATGATTTATGCAAATTATGAATCATACAGTAAAGCGTTTATAATATATAATATTTGTATTTGTCTTTAATCTAATCGGAAATCGTCGCAACGATTTATTATCCCAAAATCTTAAAATTTAATTTTAGCAAATCTTTTGTTTGTTTATGTTCATATTGTTTTTAATGGACAATATTTCTTAGATTGTACATGTAATCGTGACATGTAAGATAAAAACCAGACATTTTTGGTGTATAAAAGGGAAATGAAAAATGAAACAAACCATCACAAGCAACATGTTCAAGTTTGTATTAATATCTGCTCTAGTAGCTGCGGCCTCAGCCGCCAACCCAAGAATCCCTCAGCTGGATGGTCGCATCGTCGGTGGTGAAGATGTCAACATCGAAGACTATCCATACCAACTCTCCTTGCTTTACTACGGAAGCCATATCTGTGGCGCTTCCATCATCAGTGAGAAATTCGCAGTTACCGCTGCCCATTGCACAGATGGTTCTTCCGCCAAGGATTTGAGTGTCCGCGCTGGTTCTTCCATCAAGGGATCCGGCGGTGTTGTGGTCCAAGTCAAGACCGTCTACCAGAACCCACAATACGATGCCTGGAACATCGATTATGACATCACCGTCTTGGAGTTGACCGAATCTCTTTCTTTGGGTTCCGGCATCAACACTATTCCATTGCCCAAGTTCCTTCAACCAGTTCCAGCTGGTGCTGAAGCCGTCTGCTCCGGATGGGGTGCTCTCAAGGAAGGAGGCTCTTCTCCGTCTCAACTGCAAGCCGTTAAGGTCAACATCGTCGATAATGAAGAGTGCCAAGAAGCATACGGAAGCAACCCAGTCACCGATCGCATGATCTGCGCCGCCGTTCCAGGAGGTGGCAAAGACGCTTGCCAGGGAGATTCCGGTGGTCCATTGGTCGTCAATGGTGAACTCGTCGGTGTCGTTTCCTGGGGAATGGGATGCGCTCGTCCAGACTATCCAGGAGTTTACTCCAGCGTTCCAGAGATGCGCGATTTCATCACCGAAAACACCGGCTTGTAAACACACATCTCATCAAATAACTTTTATGTCTCAACAAATGTTCCAACGTTATGAAAAAATGTAAAAATGTATTGAATAAATATAAATAGTTCTTTTAGTTCATACAATATAATATTTTGGTTTTTAATTAAAAATTCTATCTTGAAATCACATTACTTTTAAATGTTTATGTATAGATGAACAATAGATTTTTTTGCAGAAATAGGAGTTGATTGACAACCTCTATCTCTGGTTTAGAAACTACAGTATTTTGATGTAATAAAATTGCTTTTAATATTCTTTGATTATTCGAATAATGTATGGAATTCGCATGTAAACATTGTGCTAATTTACTTTTGTACATGGCGAATAGTAGTAATAGATGAAATTACGTTACGAAAGATCATTGTCAAAGATAGGGGCATCAATTAATCATGAGTTAGAGAAGATAATTGATGTCGAACGAGGATGAAAGTTATAAATGTTAACAAGAAGTGCAAGATTGTATATGTTAAAGACATCGAGATAGGGTTTTGTGAAGATCTGGCTATTAAATAGAAAATAGCGTAATTGATAAAATGATGATGTATTAGGGTTAAGCGAGGTTAGACGAGGTTACCGCATTCAGCGAGGAGCGTGTTCGGTGGAGGTAGGAAATGATAAATAGCAAAAGAAGAATAAAACGGCTTTAAAAGTTATCAATCACGTTTCGAAATGGTCGTTGCTGTTGCTATTTTAACCGTAGATGTGTTTGTATATAAAATATAGATTGGCCATTTAGACCCAAATAGATAATAATTGCAATTACAAGAAGCGATCGTGCGCGAAAGCGCGCCAATTTACGAAACGATGGCAGAGAACTTTGAAAGAAAAGGAAAAACGTATCGCGCTGGGACGATTATGATTTATATTTGTTTTCCAATCATTGTTCTCTCGTTGGTGATTTATGGAGAGAAATTTCGCTGCTTTGTGTCGGTTTCGGGTGGTTCGGTCGGAGGGAAAAATAACAAAAAAAGAAAAAAGGAAAATTGGCTGGACGCGGTGAGAGGCAATGACCCAGGTCGGTCGTGTGCGAGAGAAACGAAGAAGAAAACACAGTCAGACGTAAAAATAAATTAAACTGACCTAGACTAACGCAAAGTTGTGTGGAAGTGTGGAAATATATGCGGAGAGGGAAGAGAGCAAAGAAAAATGAAAAGCGGGATTGTAGGCCGTTTCGTCCACATTCCAGACTATACTGCAAGACGTCTTCGTAGTCGTTGTCGTGTGCATATTCTTCATTTTGTGCCTAAATCCGGATGGTGGACACGCTCGTGTCCATTAGGAGCGGCGATCTTCCCCAGATCCACTGGGTCAACAAACCCGATCCTATTATAATATTGAGCATCTCTCCGATTCGAAACCGAAAGAACAAGACGAAGAAAGAAAGAAAAAACAAGCAACAACAGGGAACATTAATCAGGTGCGGTGCAAAGGTGGAAAAAGATTGCGCGGCGTGTTTTGTTTGTCGGCGGAGCCTCTGCGGATGTGAACAGTGAGACGCGAAGAGAATGGGAGGCTCGTGCATGAAAGCAGCCAACGTCGTGGAGGGACACGAGACACATACACACAACTATGTATATGTGTGTTGTCGGTATAAGTAGGTAATTAATTGGGCACTAGGCTTTCGTGTCCGATGTTTTCGTTTCTGTTCACCGGTTCACGCTGCGAACGCTATTAATGATTTTTCCGCGTTTCGAGAAAAGGACTCCTCCACCATCATTCATCCATCCTCCAGTTTTTTTTTCTCTCCCCCTCGGTGCAGTACGCCTATGTGCGGCCCGAGAAGGCGCCCAGCCAACTGCATGTCAATAGGTGAAGAACGAACACTATTTCTACTCCCTTTTTTTTCTTTTACTCTCTCTTCTCTTCACCATCTCTCTATCCTCAATTCTATCTCTAATCCCTCGATCGTTGCCATCCATCCATCCAACTAGCACTATTTTAAGCTCTCCCCTATGTTTATACACATCCTATGTTTATATTTGATCGCAGGTTCGTTTACACCGTCGATATATAAATATTGCATAACATCGTATCCCGAATGGAACAATGGCAGGCAGACAGCGATCGGCCGCTTGCGACATTTCTCAGTCTTAAAGGAAACACTTTTTTTTTGTCTCTCTCCCGAGTAATGTCTATCGCTATATAATACCAACAGGGACGTAACCAGCTTCTCGTAATTCCTTACATTCTACAACATAAACCCATGACGCAACAGTTTTTACTACCATATCAATTATTTATACCATTCATTATTACATAAGCATTACAATTACAATCATTAGATTTTCTTGATAAAATTTTCAAATCCGATAAAAATTTTAGAATTGATAATCAAAACGATTTTAGATACTTATTTCAATGAAAAATATTCACATTTCAAATTTACGCTCAGTCCACATACAGTAGAAACGTAAAGAAAACAATATTCAATTGAAAGACATTGAAAATTGAGACAAGCAATAATATAATCAAATATATACATTTATTTATTCCAGAACTGAAATTGTTTAAATCCAAGTTTACTAGTTAATAAGAGAGTCTAAATTCGCATGCAATTTTGTGTCTAAAATAAAAACAAGTTCTCTAAATGTTCAATGAATCTTTCATATTTTCTTTTATGCAAAATTAGTAAAATTTTATTTTATTTTGTTTTACTTTTGTAGTTCAATAAATATTAAATAAACCTAATCGAAGTCTTACAAATCTTCATTGTTTTTCTAACTTATTTTATTTTGAAGACATTTTAGTTAACTAACTGTATTATCAAACACTAATATTGTAGACAATACCATTTTCATATAAATTGATGTTACTTTTATCTAAATAATGACTGTAACACCAAAAGTTGCTTAACTTACTTTCATGAACTGTCGAACAAATAAACATTAAACGATTTTACTATAAATATTTATGTCTTATTATTTACAATAGAAACATTAGTTCCCTTGTGTGTCTGGTTTTCTATACTGGATCCGGTCCTGGTGTCAATGTATATCTATATGCATGTGTATATAATTTAGACTCGTGGTGCGATTTGGCCCATTTATACCAAGCAATAAACCTTCGGATTTCGCACGATTTACTGCATAATTTCTTCAAGGAAATCGCACATGCGAGGAACGGCGCAAAGTACACTCCAACTGGGATATCGAGATTTATCGATTCATAATTCTCAAGAGTGAGAGCTCTAAATGCTTCATCATTCAGTCGAAAAATCGCACATTAACGTAAATCTTAATTCATCCTACAAACGCCAAATTAAGATTTACAAATATTACTTATTTATCATAGAAATATCACTGCATTATCTTCAAATTAGTTATTATAAGTCAGATTTAGAATCATCAAAAACTTAGATTAATTCAAATATATTAGACCACATCAATTTTTCAAAATTTGGTAGACTAATAAGGTTTTTCTTAAAAACTTAATGTTTCATCTAGTGTACATCTTTAGATACAACTACTATTACATAATATTTAGGAATGGCCAAGATTTGAAATGAAATATTTTCGTCCTTACATCGTCACGTTTTATTTAATTACTTTATAATGACTAAGGCTAATTAGATCATCAAATATCCGTATTAATTATAGAACCTTTACAACATTTTCAGACATGCATTAGCATACGAATGAATTTACATAGATTATATATAAGTATTAAATAATTATGATAGCATTAAAGTATACAATTTGCGAGTCAACAAACAGAAGATAACAATTACGTCAATGGCCTTTTTGTATATTATTTTTGTATGTAAATATTGTTCCCTCTCCCATATAGAATGAAATATATGAAATTCTTTATCGACGAAACAGGAAATTCTCTTCCGCTTATCGCATTACTAATTTGATGCAACTTTACTGCAATCATTCCAATTTTAATCGCTTTCGAAGAAACCAGTTCAATAATAAAATGTCTTTAATTAAAAAACTAGTAATTCTATTGTGTCCACTGCTTATTGTTAGTGCAAGTGCTCAATATTGCATATGCAAAAAAAACTGTCCACCAAAAACCTGTACGGGTACCTATAGTGCAGATGTGTACATCGACAAAACAAGTGGAGAAATTTCCGAAGAAATCAGAAGATTTACGTTCGAAATCATCGACATGACTTTCGGAAATTTGAAAACTATTGAAGCCAAAATCTTTCAAGATCTGAAAGTGAAGAACCTGTTGCTGAGAAATAACTATATTTCTGAAATTGGAACAGATTCGTTCACCGGAATATCAAACTTAAAGGATTTGCACTTGGAATATAACGTGATTAAAACGCTGCAACGTAATTCGATTCCGGCAACTGAAAATCTCTATTTAGATTACAATTTAATCGAGGTGTTGAATCGATGGATGTTCGCTTCAATTTCAACGATTTCCGTACTCTCGGTAACGAATAATAAGATTGCTGTTATTTCTTCTGATACGTTCAAAAACTCAAGAATGACTCACTTATTTTTGAGTATGAATAGGATCGTGACTATAACCGAGGAATCTTTCGCTGGTATGCAAGGAATTTTAGAAGAAATCCATCTGGATGGAAATGGAATAGAAATGATCGAAATTAATTCCATCCCGAAAGCTAAAACAGTTTACTTGAATAATAACTATCTGACGTCTTTAACACCGAAGAACTTTATGAATATATTTTTCACGACAAACGTGGATGTGCGCAATAATTGCTTGAATCTGAAGTTCGTCGATGAATTTTTCAACATGTCAAATGTCAATTTTAAGCAAAACAATGGTATTTGCGCCTTACCGAAATACAACACTAACTCAATAATGATCTGGGTGCTTTATGCAATTCTTGCCGCATTGTCTCTTGTTTTTATTATTTTGATTGCGAACCTAATCATTTGCAAACGAAGGAATGCCGTCTCCAACGTTCAACAATTGTCCGTCAATTTTACGGTAATTATAAAAAAATTTCACTCTACATAGTTTTTCATATAGCATTTTTTTTTTCAGAACACCGACAACAACAGATTAGGATGTAATATTAGTAAGTTATGATTTTAGATTAAACAATGATGCTCAAGTTTGACTACAGTCGTACCTCGATTAACGAATTTGTATGCATTATACGAAAATTCTTCGTTAAGCGAAACAATAACACTTCTTCCTTGTCAATACAAAACATAATAACATTTTCAAAGAAATTTATCCTTTGCTTGTTAACATTTTTTTTCTGCAAGAACTTCTTTAATTCCATCTTCATTTTCTTTGTCTTCATTGCTAACAAGCTTTTCTTATCTATTTTGGCATAGTACCTAGGGCCCACGAGATTGTTTGGGTCCCACGTCAGGTTTTAGGGCCCACACAAATATTTTAATTTAGTTGATAAGATACCAATACTCGCCGCTCTTCCCCCGTTGTCATCTATTTAACTGGATCCTATGGCCCACGTAAACCTTAATAACTAATTTATTAATCTCATCTTTTAGTCATATTTTGTCGGTTAATTGTCGGGCGTTAAGTTTATGTTAAATGGGGCTTGAAATTACGGACTTAATTAAGTCGAAGCTTCGTTATGAGAGGTAACGTTATATTGTAAATTTGACCAATATTTTATCAAAATATAAATAGGGTAAACGTGATTATACAGTTTTTTTATCAAATATTAACTCATGGAATTTAAATTTATTATTGCAAATTTACTAACTTTACCGAAATAATCAAGTTTTTCTGTATTATTTTATATAAACTTATATTTACACTTTTATTTTACAGCTCAGGCTCTTCCTATAGTATATGATGGTATGTACCTATATTATAAATTATAATATTTATAACTAAATAAATGATTATTTCAGAAATTCCAGTTGTCAATAAACCAGTTTTAAGTAAGTTTCTGGTAGAAAAGATTTAACCAAATAAATTCAAGTCTATTTTTTATTATAGAATACACGGAATATGAAAACTTCGGATATTTATCACCTATTGTCAATAAAAGTACGAGTTACCAAAAAGTGGGATAATGTGCAATAGGTTAACGAACATAATCCATTCAAATTCGCTATCCGAATCACCGAAACCGATCATCAATTTAAGAAGTTTAAGTTTATATCACTACTATTATTAGTTCCAAAAAGCAATGTCAATTGATTCGAAAAGTGTACGTTATCCGAACCTGTGATTCTTATCCGAACATAAAGTTTTTATCATCCGATTTGTTCACAGTTCGTTAACCGAAATACTGTCACTTAAAAACTTATGTTCGATCTATTACAACAAAGATAGATTAAGATAAGATATAAGATTTTTTATATTCAAATAATTTAAAAAAAATATAAAACTATATTTTACTAATTCAAATAAGTTTTAATCGAGAAAGTTATGAGCTTTAAATATATGTTTTGTAAAAATTATCTTGAAATAATGCACTATCATATGTATTTATAGTTATGACAAATACAATTTTTTATATGATACGATTAAAACCACATTTTGCGAACGTCTTAACCATTTCTTCACCAAATCTGACGTACGATAGAATGTTTTATCGATGGAAAAAGGAAATTCGGTTTCATAAAACACATTTATAATCGAAAACGAATAAAAATGCAGTTTTAATCGTTGATGTACGTTGACGAAAGAAGACATTTTATGTTTACAAATAAAATGTTTTCAAGTGCAAAAATAGTGACTATACTATATCCACTCATTATTGTTAGTGCAAGTGCTCAACGCTGTATATGCAAACAAGTATGCATAAACAAGGAACTATCGAAAAAGTGCATACATCACACCGATTTGATTATAAACAACGTCCAATTAAGTGCTGCAAATTTCGAGGATATCGAAAATGATACGATTATCAATCTCATCGAACTGAGATTAAGGAATATCAAAACCATCGAAGCCAACACTTTTAAATATTTGAAAGTGAAGAACGTGATCTTGGAATATAATTACATTTCTGAAATCGCTTCAGATTCGTTCGCAGGAATATCAAAATTAACGAATTTACATTTGGATCATAACGTGATTGAAACGCTGCAACCGAATTCGATTCCCGCAACTGAAAATCTGTATTTAGATTACAATTCGATCGAGGTGTTGGATGGATCGATGTTCGTTTCGATCTCAACAATATCTATATTTTCAATAACGAATAATAAGATTGCTGTTATTTCTTCTAACACGTTCAAGAATTCTAGAATGACGCATTTATATTTGAGTTTCAATCGGTTTGTGAATATCAAAGAGGAGTTTTTTTATGGGATGAAAGGGATATTAGAAGAAATCGAACTGGATGGTAATTATATTGAAATGATTGAACGGAATTCCATCCCAGGAGCGAAAAAAGTTAATTTGTACAATAACTCGTTGGCATCTTTAAGTACGCGTTATTTTAAGGATATTTCTTCATTAATGTACGTGGATGCACGCTACAATTGTTTGGATGAAATGGTCCAGAAAGAATTTAATAGTGAAACGATTGTAGAGTCTAAACTAAAGCGCGATAGTTGCACTTTGCACGTTGCTAATTTCAATATAGATTCCCAAACGATGCATATAATTTATTTAATTCTTGCAATTATTATAATTTTACTTTTGATCAACATATTTATCTTGTGTTTAATAAGACTCTGTGCCAGAAGGTCTCAAAATCAGGTAACCAACGTTCGACAGTTTTCCGTCATTTTAATGGTAAGATCTTTAATTACAATATATATTATTAACTCATCCTTTTTATTGCAACAATGTTTCAGGACAGAAAAAACATTAGAAACGGACGTAATGCAAGTAAGTTTTAATTATTATATATAAAAAGTATCAAATCATAATTAACGTTAATATAATATTGAATTCATACCAAAAATATTTTTTTTATGTATTTCTCAAAATTACATTATTTCTGAAATATCAAAAACCGGTAACCGCATTTTACATAAGAATTTAATCTTATAAAGTATTATCAACAATTATAATATAAGTTTTTTTATAGAATTCGAAGAGGACAATTATGGATACGTGACGCCTGTAAATGTACAAGAGATTGAAACAACCTACGACAAAATTGGATGATGATGTTGATATCTTACATAATCCCGACAATCAAAATCCCGACTGTATCGAAATCCCGACTACCGTAAACCCGATAATCAAAATCCCGACTATATCGAAATTCCGATTATATCGAAATCCCGACTATATCGAAATCCCGACTACCATAAAAATGTTATTGTAGAAATTTATAATAATAAAAGACACTGTCGGAATTTCGATATAGTTGGGATATTGATTGTCGGGATTATGGTAGTCGGGATTTTGACATAGTCGGGATTTCGATACACTCGGGATTTCGAACGTCAGGATTTCGAAATCGAGATTTTGATAGACGGGATTTCAGTTGTCGGGATTGCGATTGTCACCGTTTGCAAATTAGCTAATTATCATACTTAATATATAACATGTAGACACCTCTAGTGGGAAACCATTGAATTAATTGCATATATAAGACAGTAATCTGTTTTACAAATATATACAGGGTGGATCATAAAGATTATCACATTTCACATGATCTATATAAATATATAAGGATTTTCTAATCGGAACAGTGAAGGAAGAAGAAAGAAGGGTTATCATAAGTTATATAATAATTTTAAAGTTAATCATTATATTTAATAACAAATTTTAATGCTACACATTTTTTTATAAATTGTACAAATATTCAGGCAATTGTATATTACTCCCAGAATTATTACATTTATAGTTATTAATTTGAAATACTTAGATCTAAGATCATGATTTTTGGTATTTTGTTTCTATCGTATTATTAAGTTAGCATATGCATTTTATATTGTTTTACTAATTTATATATTATAAAGCTTGTAAACTTATTATGTACATCACAATATATTCATACCACATTATGACTCATATAAACAAGTAACCATGGAAGGTCTATGTATTAAATCGATACGAATCCCCAAACTATTTACACGTTGTTGAAAGAAACTTTTGTCAGTCAAGTTGTCAGCTTTGAGATGGAAGGTTTAGGCACAGATTTGGTACTACTTTCGAAGTTACTCAATCCGCCAAAAAGCGGAAACGAATCCGACGATGAAGAAGACCGCAAACAATCAAAGTCAAAATGTAAAAATTTAATAAAATTATTACTTGCAGAACTTATTGTGTACGCTTGTAGATTTGAGCCCGAGCGATGTTTGCGAGATCAAAGCGGAAAAGAAACCAAACGAAGCTGAAACCAGAAAACCTGAAAAGGTAGAAACTGAAAATATAGAGGAGTATTTCAAAGAAGAAACCGATTCGAATCCCCAAAACGATTGGAAGAGAACGCCCAAATGGGAAGTGTCTTATAGACAATCTGTAACACCTTCCGATGTATTCCTGCAGGTAATTAAATGTAATCATTAATTGATATATGGTTAATTGCGAGTTGTAGATGGGTGGAAAAACGCCGACGACAGCTAGTTGCGAGAATATGATCATGAAGATTCATTTGCCAGGGGAATCCAGGCAAAATATTGACCTGAAAGTGTTGAGGACGAATTTGGAGGTGAACAGTGCCAAGTTTTACTTGTCGATTCCGCTACCGCAACCCGTCGATCCGCAATTGGGGAACGCTCAGTACGATGCGGAATCCGAAGACCTCGTGGTGACCTTGGTCATGGATCGCGAGTTTGATTTTGTTAATTTTTAATACAAGCATGGAAAATGGATAAGACAAATACAACATTTCATTATTACTTATAAAAACATGTTCTTTATTTTTTATGTTTGTTTTGAACAACTTGTTTCTTATTTATTGCCTTAATGATTAAGCATGTGAGAACATAAAACAGTGCACCTACTTCACACCAAACAACAACTTCATCTTTACTTCCCTTCGTTTAACATTATGATATGGTATATATGATATTATATCGGGTATAACTGTAAGCAATCTACATCCATGATATGCATATAATAAGATAATGATGAGGTGTGCATTATTGATTATTTACGGCTTTCTTGCATGATTTGTCTTAGCGATGGTCGTTGGTTGGAGGTGGAGGCTGCGTCACCCTTCCGGGGGTGTCCTGATTTAATTGAGAGGCAGTCACCGAGCGTGTTTGGAGGGTAGTAGTCGTGGCGGCAGGTTCCTCCAAGAGTTGCCTTAGTCGTTGCAATTGAGCTTCCAATTGTCGATTATGATCTTCGAGGATTTGCATTCTTGCCTCCAATCTACCCTTGTGCTGACGTAATAATCTGGCTTCGGCTACGACGTCGTGTTGGGCTGGCTGAGGGTGAGGATTTGAACCTCTCTGGAGTTGCTCATATTCCTGACGTAATGCCGTGTTCTCGGCTTCCAATTCGCGAATCATATCTTGCAGCTCAGCCCGTTGCTCCTCGTCGATTACAAGCATCAGTTGACCTGGACTTGCCGGAGCTCCTTCCAAAGAATGGCACAGATCAGCTATGAGTCGATGCTCATCCTCTGGCGAAGCAGCCCTCAATTCCACTTCGGCCAATCTGCTAGCGTATATCTCTAAGCGGGAATGCATGTCATTGTGTTGCGGGGAAGCTATCGGGCTCTCAAGCTCATCCCCTTCCAAAACAGAACGTACCGGAAGATATCCCACTCTTGGATGCTTAACGAAATGTCTTTTACTTTTAAACTTATTGCGCAAGGCTTTAGTGAAATCCCTTACATCTTCAGCTGAAGTAGTCGCAGCACAATATTCGTGCATCGGATGGGACAATTTATGACCTTTCGTTAACCTTCCCGAGAAAAAGCAAGATTGACACATGTCAAAATTGAAACACTTTAAGCACCGATACCTCAACCCAATTATAGGATATTGTTTGCACGAATTGCACTTAGCCTGGTGTTTAGCGGTCTCAGCAGCTGCCAATCTATGAAGTACAGGTACCCAAACTAAAGATTGCGGTTCCTGTTTCAGCCATGCTAAGAAATGAGTTACTTCCAAATCTTCCCTTTCTCCAAGACAACTCCTAACGCTAGGTTCTATATTAGATCCACCGAATGCGGCCACTTCGCCCAATTGTCTGGGTACCTGCAGAACATCATGCAGCAGCAATCCTAGCTTCCTTTGGTCAGCTCTCTGCTGCGGATCAGCTATCAAGCGGAATAAGTAACGGTATTTATCCTCCAAGTGACCTTTCGCTAATAAAATCAAGCCCACCTTAAAACTAAGTACTCGAATCTGGCCAGTCCTCTGACTATCGTATACATTTAACAGCCAATTCAGTGTGAGATCAACGCAAAGTGGAACTTCCACTAAGTTCGGATTCTGTTGCAACGTTCCCGAATATATAGCCCTTAGAATCAACATCATATCCGCCACATCTAACAACCGATCGTTTTGTCCCCGGAGACCGTGAACATCAAATGCCTCGGAGGCAGCGGACAAAGTAACCAAATCGAAGCAAAGTTTCTTCTGGATTGCGCGTAACTTCAAAGCGGTTCTATATGCGGAAAAGCGTACTTCGTTCAGCTGCAACAAACATGCGGCCAATTCCAACATCTGCGGATGATCCCAGTGGGTTGTCTCCATGTTGTGGTTGATGTAATAAGGGACTTTGTTCGGAGTAGTCGCCCTTTCCCACGGAGGCTGAACGCTCGACGGGCCCGGGGATATTTCTCCTTGGCAAGTGCTCGTCAGGACTTCCCGTCTCTCTCTAATTGCAGCCTGCAGGGCTCTGCATCGTGCAGTACAGTCTTCAAGTTGAGTGGCCGAGGTTTGAGGCACTGCGGATCCGAGCATAGAAGCTTGACTTCTTGCTTCATCCAGCGACCTCTGAAGTGGCGGAAGTTGCTGCTCCAACGTCCTCAGGCCGTTTAATAATTCACGAGCTTCAGCCGCGCTCCTTGGGCCGCTCCAGCTCAAAGTCGCCCTCTCTAGACGAGCAACCGCGGACGAAGCCTCCTCCAAAGTTACAGCCAAGTGTTTCAATTTCTTTAGAAAATTATTTTTAATTAATACGTAACTTACACAACATATGATTGAAGGTAAAATTTGGATTTTACATTTGTAGGCCAATCCGCAGAAATTTTATAAATTCAATATTAAATTCAAAACAGTTAAACTATTACTAATTTGAAATTTAACGGTCAAATCAACCAATGCATGGATTTGCTGTGGATTGGCCTTATTAATGGGATAATAATACTTACAGCATTGTTCTGTTCGAATCTCGAAGCTAATTGATCGGAACGATCGATCAAAGCATTCCACTTATCGCTCAACTTGACCAACTCCCTCCGCAAGTTACGCGCCAAGTCTCCTGAGGGTTCGCCCGCTACGAATTGTCTGGCACTCCTGAGGCTAGCCTCCACGAGTGGCCTTTTATCCTCCAGCTGCTGCCGGAATGCCCTGTGGTCATCTTGCCTTGACGCAAGGCCCAATTCCGTATCTTTCCTGATCACCCACTCGGTTAATTCCCTGAGCGAAAGCAGCAGAGCGTTCCAGTACTCTGCGTTGTGCTCCAGCCTGTTGCGCAATTCCATTGTCCGTGTGCGGAGAGCCTGGAATATGTTTGTATAACTTTTAAAAATAGCTTTCGAATCAAATGATTGATGGAAATGGAAGGATGTAAGATGTGCACTGTGGAAAGGAGCGAGCGGATCGCGCGAGCTCTAGTTTAGAACTGACCTGCCAGCGGCGTTCCATCTCATCGCCACGCAGCTGGAGCATGAGCGCATCCTCGGGGGCGAGCGTACCGAGGAGTGCGAGGCTGGAGGTCCTCAGAGCCGAGTGCGTTGTCGATTGTCTCTCGATATCGGACTGGAGCTCCTTCAAGCCTTGGGCGCCTCTCCTTGAATCCCCTTCAGTCTCGAGACTCTCCAGAACCGACTCCACTTCGCTCAACCAGGCTAAGAACTTATCTAGCGAACGGTCCAAGTTCTGCAAAGAACTCATCGCCGCGTGAAGCAGCTTCCCTCTGTTGATTACGCATGCATCCAGGCGCGTGTATAATTGGTTGATATCTGAAGCTGCCTGCAAAGAAAATACATTAAAATTCTATAAATTCATCTAATATCACAAATAGAAAGCAACAAAAATACATTTATTATAAAAATACTAAATATCAATCATCCAGGACAAAGCAGTAAGTATTAATTTAAATATTACTAAGTCGAAATATTGATCTTAAATTAAGTTGATTTAGATTTCTTGCAATAAATGAAAAAAATATTAATGTAATTTGCAAAAAACATGAAATAGATAATTACTTAATCCACTGATAATATGTTGTAATTCTTTTATGTTACATCATTAATAACAAGAATAGTGACATAACTTGAATCTATAAGATTTAAACTTAACTAAAAGCATTGCATAAACTTGACCTCTAGCTGCTAGATTCTAGCACACATAATTCAAAAAAAGGAATGCAACACAAGTAGTTATAAGAATAAACAATGCTCTTTTCATTATTTACTTAAGAAATTTAGATAATAAAGTGAATCAATAATAATGTATTTGAGGGACACTTTGTGAGAATGTAATACATTGATGCATATAGTTATGATTCATGTGAATGTATACAAATCAAATACTGAATGTAAGTGCAACTGCGATACGTTTGAAACGTTCGAGAGATTCATATAAGTTGTGTTAATAAAGAGCGTTGAACATTGAGTTGTCGAAACTGAATTGTTATGTATTGGATGTAAATGTTAAAAGCTCCTCGCTCGATCGCGGTGCGTACTTCAAACATTACGTAACGCCGAACGAATGCCTAATGGCTAATATAATTAAGGAAACGGCAGAGGCACTGTTATAAGCTATTAAATGGGATACATTGCGAGCGTTCGGTAGAATATTTCAATTATACGTTGCTATTAAAAGCAATTGAGCACAAATTGTTCCCAACGAGTTAATTACTTTACACGATCGCATTTACTCGTTTGCCCAATCATATCCAATCATAAATGGACAACGTATTTAATCAATCCACACTGTTTGGATTTCGATTTAAAAACTGGACAACCATTGAATTTATTAATGACTACATTTCGTTTTGTTACGTACAGCCTACAAATTCGTTACTGCAGAAATCAAATATTGATCTATAGGCAAACTAGGTGAACGATATTTGAAGGTGCAGCTGCGGATTATTACACAATAAAATAAAATCGCATTGCATTTTGAATGTCATATAAATAATTAAAATCATAATTAATAAAATCCATTGATTAATCAACAGTTTTAGTTTAATAAGGAAACATAAAATAACATTATTAGACTAGAAATGGATGTTAACACCCGTATTTCTATAATATTGAAATGTTAAGTTGAATTGATTGATATTTAGTACAAATTTATTTTTCAAACAGCAAATATATTTTTTTTATAAAAATTAATGGTTGTGAATTGTAAAAATTACTATTATAAAACGCTATTAGGAAAATAGGAAGACTCCATTAATTACTAGAAGATAAAGCAGATTTGCAAAGGTCTGAATTAATGGTTTCACCTCCTTTTAATGATGCACACATTTAAAATATGATAAATGCAAAAACATTTTTGTTTTAATTATCTTCATTGAATGCACTTTATGACAAAAGAAAATCTAAATTTTATAGAAAGTAATGCAATTAAAATATGTTTTATAACTCGAGATATAGTACATTTTACGGTGTTAGTGGAAACTGCGAAATATTTGAAAGGGGGATGGTGCGATTGAGGAAGTGAAGGGATGCAAAGACCTACTTTATATATAGATCGACGAAAAGCTCAAATAGAGCCGATGTGAAGTGAGTGAGAATTTTAGGGCAATATAGAATGTTTATGAAAGGTATAAAAGGTGTCTTTCAGATTCTTGAAAAGGTATTTTTTAATACACTTGTATATCAAAATATTGCTATCAAAAGTAGAGTAAAAAGAAATAACAATGTAATTATTGAAACCCATCAATCTTTCGAATTATTGAATGGATTAATGAAATGTACTTTTACATAATGTACACGTCTATGATTACTAATTTCAAGTATGACGCATTAACAACCGTTAATTTATATACGATATAAATCGAAAATTATATTTAAAATAAATGTTTTCAATTTTTTTTTTAAATGACAATAAATTTAATCAGTATATGAATAATTATTGTTTTTCAAGTGGAAGTAATTTTGTCAAACAAATTAGTTACATGTACACTAATAGTGCCCATTTGTGTAAATGCAACTAATTATTTATTTATGAATTATTAATGTGCTTTTACTGTTTATTTTTGTGATTGTATTTATTGTTATAAAAATAGAATTGATGCTTCAATGAAATTGTGTAACACATAATCCTGAAATCTATAGGAATGTGTCAAAATCTTATAAAAATCAATATTCCATTTAGAACTGCAGCACATAAATCTAAAAAGCATGTCTCGATGTATAAGATGGAGCATAATGGATTCTTATAAGAAAACTGAAACATACCTTCTTATATCGACTGGTGTCCTCATGCTGATGAGCAGTGATGATCTTCTGGGTGATCTGTTGGAAGCCATCGATCTGCTGCCTGAATGTATGCAGCTCAGCATGGAAGCCCTTCTGCTCCCTGAGCTGCAGCTCGAGCACATCAGCAGTGTGTCCCACTGGGGCCATGCCCCCCATCCTCTTTTCGAGTCTCTGCAGCCATGACTCAATCTCCACTTTCTTTTGCTCAAAGATGTCCTCCTTCTTGTGCATCCTTCCGCGCGTTTCGCGACGTCTCACAGCCTCATACCTTCCTTCCTTCCTTCCGTTTCAACTAGAAGCCCGAGAGTCGGCCTTTTGTTGTGGTTAGGGGCGATGACACTGCTGCACTAGGTGTCGGTGCTGTAATCACCACACACAGATCAATGTTTACGAGGTCGATGACCGCGCACAGGTAATCTTCTTCTTGAGACGCAAGTCTTGCGGAAAGCGGAAATACATTTTTGGATATTCGCAGGGCGTAGATCGTGAAACCAAAGACGACGATGTGCCAACAAACACCGAACGAACGAACAGAAAAAAAAAACAAGTGAAGATGAAAAGAATAAAAAAAAAAAACGCGCTCGCTGATCAATTGATTTATCGGTGCCAAAAGATATTATTAGAATTTTAACCACACTAACCTAAATCGGATAAACGTAAAAGTTACACTGCGAACAGTGAGCCCCCTTATTGCGTGTTTTCCGGAGCCACTAAAGAGTTATAAATGGAAGGCGCCCGTTCTTTCCACATTACCGCCGCTCCAATTACACTTTAATCAATTAAAATGTTAACCGCTATTTCATCGCTCCAATTCGAATAGAAAACAAAACAGAAAACAATAATATTGACCTCATAAACATATTTTGAACTAACGCAACAAGATTATGCAACCAAACTAGCACGCGCGTTGTGAAAGTTACATAACTTTTTATATGACGTTAAGCGTTTTGGTTTGCATTCCGGTGCACTGAAAATATAAACAACATAACCTTCAACAGCCGAAGCACTTCTCAATGGCATTAAAAGTTATCTGTTTTGCGTCTTTTTTCCGAAAAAGATTTCCGTGACCAATTATGTAATTGGTGGAAAACCGGTCGTTGTTGCAATGTCCCCAACCGAGTAAAATCAAAGAGAAAGTTGTAAACGTCAGATGCGAAGATGTCATCGTGACAGATTGCTAACAAATCTGAAAATTCGTTAAAATAGTAGGAAAAGCGCAGTTTCGTTTACTAACACGATATGTGTGGATATTGATTGCGTTGCGAAACAGCACATCGACTCGTTCCTCTCTAACTTAATGCATAAGAATTATTTATCTCCAAAGCAAACATGGAAAATGATCAGAATAACAGTACAAATGTTGCGAAGAACCATGAGGTCAAGAAGGATCACGAAGTGATTATTAGTGAAAATAAATCAGGTCTGTTAAATGTTAGGGCTATTGTTTTCTTGTTACTCTGGTACGTCTTCAGTGGATGCACCTTGTTCCTAAACAAATACATTCTGACATATTTGAATGGGGATCCAACAATATTAGGTGAGTCTCATCAGATAATCATAATCATCAGACATTTATAATTCACTGCTCTAAACAGGTGCTTGCCAAATGTTGATGACTGCAACATGTGGATTCATTCAAATGTATTTCCCCTGTGGCATGTACAAACCATCTCCAAGGCTCAGCAAACCTCCAGGATTCTATAGGCACATGATTTTAGTTGGATGTACTAGGTTTCTCACAGTTGTTTTGGGTTTAGTTGCTTTAAATTATGTAGCTGTAAGTTTTACTGAAACCATAAAAAGCTCAGCGCCTCTCTTTACAGTATTAATCTCAAGATTGTTATTAGGTAAGTGAAGAATACACTTTAATATTTAATAGGCTTAATTTAATTGTTTCACGTAATTGCAGGAGAGCAGACTGGTCTGTTCGTCAACCTCAGTTTACTACCTGTGATGTCCGGATTGGCTCTATGTTCGGCCAACGAAATCAGCTTCGAATTGCGAGGATTCATAGCCGCGATGGCAACGAATCTCACCGAATGTCTGCAGAACGTTTACTCGAAGATGCTCATTTCCGGTGATAAATTTAAATACACGTAAGTTCATTCAACAAATATGCGCATTTACAAATGATCATAGTGATCAAATTGTTGATATTATGAAGACAATTTATCCAAAATTACATTCAGTCATGCACTATATTTGATATTTCTTACAAAAGTTAAACAATGTTCTTTTGTGTTAATTATTGTGTTAATAGTTCTAAACTGATGATTTCTTTGCAGTCCAGCTGAGCTTCAATTTTATACTAGTCTCGCTAGTGTCGTAGTCCAAATACCAGCCACTCTTCTACTGGTCGATCTGTCCAGTTTCCATCGTCCGGATTTTCCTCACGTGTTTTATTTCATTCTCAACGGTCTCTTCTTTCACTTCCAAAGCATCACGGCTTATGTCCTGATGGATTACATAAGTCCGGTAACGCACAGGTAAGCTTATTCGCAGCATTTCTTTCTGTTTTTTTAACTTATTTCTTTCAAATTATTTTCAGCGTGGCAAACACTGCGAAACGAGCATTCTTGATCTGGCTGTCGGTGTTGATGTTCGGTAATCCCGTGACGCTGCTCAGTGGCCTAGGTACATTCATTGTGATCGCTGGTGTTTTCCTGTACATCAAAGCACAACAGTACGATGACAGGATGAGCTCTGCCAATCTGATACAGAGGCGGAAAGTACGGGCCATTTGATTAGTGTAAGAATCCTTATCCTCCATCCATCCCGAACCGTCGACAAGAGCCATCAATGTGATATTTCTGATAACTTCCATAACAAGTGGATATTACAGCAAAAAAGAAAAGATAAAATATGGTTTTGATTCGATTTATTTTCTTTAAATTAATTTTGTACTTATTTATTATTATTTTATTTTTAATAATATTTTCTTTTTTTTTTTAAATTGATCTTTTAGCGTTTGTTCGATTTCCATTTCTGGTCAAATGGAATTCAAGCACATTCCAATTATATTTGTACATATCGTCGAGAGATTTTTTTACACTCATATTCTTCGAGCGTGATTTAAAGAAAAAAAATATATATGAAAATTGAATATAAATGAGATACAATGTCAATTTCCTGTAAATAAAACCGATATTAAACACCTAAATCATTAATTTTATATTATTTACTTCTTACCCAACAATTCCCATATAATCAAAATGTTAGGAAAACAAAAACGGTTTTCTTTTTATCCTATGAAATTCGCACACGTTTTAACAATTTGCGATAATGTACTGATAACGTTTGTTGTGAATTTGTTTTCTGTATAGAAAATATGAATACTTCAGTTTCAAAATAAATTGACAGAAACCTTATTTTAATAAATAAATTGCTTATTTAATAAGTTAACTTCATAACTATTAATTAAATTTGTAAATATGAAATTACCATTGGAATTTCTAAACTTAATGCCCAAAAAAGGTAAACTTAATTGCATTTTCCAGGGAAGCTAAAAGGTTGGACATTTCTGATTTAAATAATTATTAAGAAAGATTTGTCTACTTAACCATTTGTGAAATGTATTAAATTATTCACCAAATATTTAATGACATTTAAAACAACATTTCTGAGCAATTAAGAATGATTTGGGTCTTTATGTATTAGATAATATATGTTTAAATATTGGTTGGTAGTAAGGTTTTTTTATTACACAAATAAATGTAGACTACAATATTATTTTATTTAAAAAAAATTGTATGTACAGTAATATTTCATATTGTTTCAAACATCCGGTTGGATGTTCGATGTGTATGATTTTCTTATAAGAATATTGGCACGTGTCAGGCCCGAAATTATTAAACAAATAATAATAATAAAAAAAATAATAATGAGATAAAAAACTAAAAGGGACTTAATTCAATTTTAAATAATTACAAATTAGTCTAAATTTTTAAAGGTAATAAATATAAAGAGAAAAAAAAACGCAGACGATATTTAATCAAATGTATCGGAATAGTTTCGAGCAAGGGTCAATAGTAGCTAAGAAAATATCGTCAGACTAAAATCACTTAGATGAGTTTTACAGGCGTTTAGGTGGAAGTGAAAGTTTATATTTCAGAGATTTATATTTATATACAAGGAATAGGAATTTGATTTGGATTGAATATTATTTTGCATTATGCTGGTGTTGGTGGCGTGCTGGTTGTTTGAGGGGCTCCCACGCATTTTGAGGCGTGTTGTGTTTTTCTTTTTATCCATATGTTCTTCTTGTTGATGCGCGATGCGGAACGGCAATAACATTATTAAATAGTTTTATTTTAACACAGCTGAACGGGTATTTCTTGATACAAGATACAAGAAATCGTGGGCTTGGCCCATTTTCTTAGGCGAGTGTGCCTGGCTGCCTGTGAGGTAATCTCCTGCGAGCAGCCAACAATTTGTTCAAACCCTTTGGTTCCTCAGTGGTGGTCGTCGAGCTTGGAGCTGGTGCCTCTGCTTCTTCATCGCCTTCCTCATCTTCAGGTTCTTCGGAAGCTTCCGTCGATGGTTCTTCTTTGGGGGCTTCGGTGGACGGTTCTTGGGTCACGCCTGGTCTGCGACGTGCCAACAGTGGGTTCACCCTTCTCACCTGAACCGGTGCGCTGGCTGCAGCCTTCGGGCGCACCTGAAGGCTCGGCCGTTGCTTGTTGCGCAAACGGGTCAAAGGATTGGAGGTATCTGGAGCTGGAGTGGCTTCCGCTTCCTTCTCTGAAGTCTGTTCCTCTTTTGGTGCTTCCTCCTCATCGACAGCTGCAGTTGGTTCGGCCGGGGCTTCGGTCGATGGAGTGGTGGCTCCAAGACGTCCTCTACCACCCAAGTTCAATCTTGGACCGGGTCTCAATGGTCGGACGTTTCCGGTAGCTCCGATCCTGGCCCTGGGTTTGGCAGTAGTGCTAGCTACTTCTGGTGCGCCTTCTTCGGCTGGTGCAGCAGATTCTCCGTCACCGCTTGGAGCTGCAGTTGTGCGTCCTCTGGTCCTCAAGTTGAAGGTAGGTCTTGGTCTCAAGGATGGCCTTGCTGGCGCAGCGGAGCTTGCAGATCCAGAGTCATCGGATGATTCGGATGGTGCTGCGGTGGTTTGACGAGTGCGGCTGGTTCCAAAACGAGATCTTCCAATTGTTGGCTGAAAGTGATCAATAAATATTTAATATTTATAATACGCAATCAAATTAAAATGTATGCATTACCCTAGCATGTCCCACTGGCTTGGAATCTTCTTTTTGAGCTTCATCGTGGGATTCTGGAGAAGCGGTGGTGGTGCGTGCGCCGGGCTTTGGTCTGTTACCGAAGGACGGTCTTCCGAAACGACCCTTTGGTTTAGTTTCTTGCGTGGCTTCGGTGGTGGCAGCAGCAGCAGCAGCTTGGGTGGTCTTCTTTCCGGTTAATCCACGGTTACGATTCCTGCCTCTGCCGAAAACTGGTCCAGAAGCTACGGTGGTTGTTGGAGCTGGAGTAGTTGTTGTGGTCGTAGTAGTGGTGGTGGTAGTAGGAATTGGGGTGGTGGTTGGCATTTCAGTGGTGGGTACTTCAGTGGTCATTTCGAAAGTGGTGGTTTCCATATCCATGTCCATATCAGTTATCGGTTCAGTAGTTTCTTCATTATCTTCAGTTCCCTTCGATACAGCGTACAGATACAGAGCCATTTTGTCCATTGGCGACATCATGGTTGTGATATCTTCAGGAGCAATAGTTTCGGTGGCCGGAGTTTCAGCTTCGACATCATCGTCGTTGACTGCAGGAGCAGCAGTTTCTTCCGGTTTATCTTCCTCCTCTTCTTCATCCTCTTCGTTCTCCTTTACGGGCTTTTCTGCTTCCTAAATTATACATGCATGAAAAAGAAAATCATTAATGCTTTTTAATTTACTAGTCTTACAGGGAGATCAGATTTTTCATTTGGAGTTGCTCCAAGGAATCTTACAGGTCCAGCTGGGAGATCTGATGGGAAAGATGGTCCGCTTGCGCTTGGTGGTTCACTGGCCGTCGTGTGAGTGTTGAAGGTCTCGTTGTCGATCAGAGATGGTCTCCTGTTATCCGGACGGGTGCGACGGCTTCCCTAAAGACGAAGAATTATTTAGTTAAATTGAATACATTTCTTTTCAATGTTTTTTAATTACTTGGGTTTCATCGGAAACACTGTCGGTATCGACTGGAGCTTCGGTGGTGGGTCTTCCCCTGGTACGACTGCGTGTCGGTTTAACTTCCTTCTCTTCCTCTTCTTCGGGGAGTGGAGTGGTATTCAGATTCCTGCTCCTCGGTGGGAACCTGGTGTTGGCCGGCAGCCTCTCTTCGGAAACGCTGTCAGCGTTATCCAATTGCCTTCCTCGCGAGCGGGATCTTCCTGTTGGCAAGACCTCATTGACGGCTGGTTCAGGAGCGGCGGTGGTTCCTCTGCCTCTGGAAGGTTTTTGAGTGATTTCATTACGGGCTGGGCCATCGTGGGAGTTGGAAACTTTTCCGTCCGTTTTCTCATCTTCGTCATCGTAATAATAATATACATATTCGTACTCGTACTCTTGGCCATTAGGTCCTTTCTTGACTTGGATCCTGGAACGTTGCTTCTCGCTTCCTGCAGCTACAAGAGGGATGTCATCGGTGTCGATGAATCTGCGGACCGGAGCGCCGGTTGTTAAAATGGAGTTCGGCGTGGTCACATCGTATTTGGCTTCCTTCTTGGTCCTCTTCGAGGATTTGTTATTGGGCGTGGCCTTTGTGGTGGTTTTCAATTGATCCTTGTACATCTCGATCAATCTGAGTGGATCGAGCTTGATGGCTCCAGCAGGAACCTGCCTCTTGTGAGGCTTCGAAGACTTAACTTCATCGTCTTCGGCACTGTTCAAGGCAAAGGTCAACGATGGAGGCAGTTTGTGGGCAGTCTCGAAAACGCGCTCATTTTCGGTGGCCTTCTCCTTGCGCTCGATGGGCCTGGATCCGGCGCCGGAAGTCTGCAGGAACACGTACTCCTGCCCCGGTTTCGGTTCCGTTATCAAATCGACTTCCGCGTAAGCCAGACACACCGCCGCCAATATTAAAATCCTGAAACGAAGAAGAAACAATTAGACAAAAGAAACGTACGATTTGATTGCAGCGCAAATGAGTTTTAGAAAGTGTGCACACGCGTCTTACGCAAGAGCCTCTCTTCATATTGACAATTAGGTAACGGTCAGGAAGTTCATCTCTACGAAGATAAATTGATTTATCCATTGGAATCCCAGAAACCGCAGCTTCATTGGATAACTAACTCATTGTTTGCATAATACTGCGCCATTAAGAAATACAATAGCGACACTTTTTACATATTTACTTATTTATTATTTGTGTCGTATTTCTGTTGCTCGCAACCAATAGGGCAAAATCTCTTGCGGACTTTTACTTCGTTTCGAAAGGTTATCAAATGCCATCGGAATTATGAAACATCAAAATATCAAATGTCGATTTTAAATGCAAATATATATTGGAGAAAAACCGCACGTATATATATATACATTTTTTTTTACTCATCGTTCATGCGGCTCATCTTCTCAACTTATGCAACGCGCTCCGAAAGGTCAGGAATCAATTAAAGGAAATGACTTAAGTTCAAGGAGTAACTGGGTAAATGTCAGCGCCGAGGGAATTTGCTCGTGGTTTTAGAGTGTGATGTAGGTAGGTAGGTAACAATTTGAAAACAATCGGCTGTGAAGAGGTAGAGGCTGCGACGTAAAGAAAGAGAGAGACGTAAAGAATGAGACTAGTTCTGTAATTAAGGCGTGAAAAATGTGAGTGTTATCCTTGAGGGCGGATGCAAGACGGCAGGACTTTCTTAGAGGCGGGAAGGTCACGCCGCTGACCTTGATCCGAGGCGGTTTTGGAGGAGAGTAGAAATTTCTCCTCTTTCACTCTCCGCCAAGCCCAGCAGTGTCGAATTCTCCAAGAGTCGATGGCATCGAGGCACCACCCAAACGCAAGCAAAAGAAGAAATATAAAAAAACGAAAAGCATCAGCAAGAAAATTACAGTAATTCGTTCAATTTCTAATTCGGTGCAGTACGTATCATATATATATTTACATTTGACTGGTGAAAGATGAAGACGATCTTAGCCTAGGGACAAAGTAAAAGGAACCTTGGATACTCGAATGAAACAGATACAAAGTTGCAGACGTGGCCGGACTTTCGCATTCCTCATCCATTATCAAACGCTGATTGGTCGCAGCTCACAGCTTCCGAGAAAAGTCGCGAATTTCACCGCAAATCAACGGCGAGATTAAATCGTGGCGAAGAATCGGGAAGAAGAAAGTTACGAGCGTTACGCAACGAATCCCCATTGTTTTCGGATCAAATACAATCAAATACGAGGAGAATCATGGATCATCGACACGATCCCATAAAATAGGTGGCATTTCGCAAAATCCTATTCACTCTCCATCGGCTGCCGTTTGAGTAATCCGAGATGAAGGTTGGATTTGTAAGCAGCAGTCTAATGGCGTAGAAAGGAAACCGAGTGGTGACATTGATTTTTGCAACAGCAGAACATAACGAACAGCAGCAGTAACAACAACAAAAAAAAAATGTACTAATAATGATGGAATAACGAAAGAACTTGATGGAAGAGGCCAACGGCCAATTTAGAGGATTCAACTACTACAACTGCAACAGCCTGTTTTTTTTTCTTCTACTTCTCTCTTCATCTAAATTTATGTTCTCTTTGTCGCTTCAAGCGATCCATCGTCGTCAATAGTTTATTCAAATAAATCGCGGAGAATATGAAATAGAAAGGATAGGCCAACACTTAATGGTTTAAACATCAGCGGTCGGCGTAACCTTGTTGACGCAGAAACGAAAGTTGTCGGGACGAAGAATAAAAATGACGAGAAAAACCGCTGCCGGAGGAGAGGAAAGAACACACACTCATGTACACATGCATAAATAGATTCATGCATACACACATACATTTATATAAATATTGCAAATCGGCGATGCTGAGGCGCGATCGGAATATTTCGAACCACTTCATTGTCGCCACTATTGAATTCCTCGAGCGAACCGCAATTCCGAAGACAATCAATCTTTCTGTTTCTTTTACTCGTTGTACTATTATTTGTCATTCGAGCATTCGAACTTAATCTGAATAGTTTCATTTTCTCACTGCTTCACTCTCCATTTCATTACTCAAATCTAACTATTTACATAACTATTTTCTACACATGATAAATCTAAATTAAGTTAATAAGTTTTGAAACCAATCTTCTAAAATCTAGTTCAATTATCCTAAAGAATAAAACTAATATTTTCAGGAAATTATTTTGAATAAACTATTATATCTTGTTGAATAATTGTGTTTTCACTATAAATGCTTTCAAATTATAATACTATTAAATTCCAACGAAATAATTTTGAATATCTGATCATATTCATTTATCTTACATCGACTTCCAATTAATAATAATTAATTTAAGTATCGTCATTTTAGTGCTCGTAAAATACTACCAAACTTTATACGACTATAATTAAACGTTTCACCAAAGTTCATCCAATTTGGAAATAAAACCTGATTCGAAGCCCCTTTTACCAAGAAGCAAACTGGTTTTGCTCGATAGCTATAAATGAAATTTGGCAATCATTTTTGCAAAAAAAAAAACAAACTACAAAGTTTGTAATAGTAGTAAACCAGTTTTTTGTCTATTCTCACTGAGCATTATTAATGGAATAGAAATGTTCTCAACCTTCAATGAGACTTACATAATTTTAATCGTTTTTTTATTTTATTTGTAAAATTATGAAATGATAATCATGAAGAACTATGAATGATATTTATCACGTTTTCTATCATGAAGCAATTTAAATATTTTCTTAAATTTTCTTTGTAAATTTTATAAAATATTAATAGGTATTTAGTAAACTCATTTGTAATTAACATATTTTACAATTTGTAATACAGTATTTGTTAAGAGTTTTTCTTCATGAATCATCTATGACGAGGTTTTCAGCAGTGTTTGTTTCCAGTTGTAAGACTATTAAATCAACTCACGTTGCATTTTTATTGTAAAATATTATAATATAAAGAATATAAAATGTTGGTTTTAATATTAATAACTTACATTTGTTCTTTGCATTTTATGATTTATAATTCTTTTATAATTCTACTTGATTAAAGATTCACAGGGCATTTAACTAATTTATTTCCTCCGTCAATAAAACAGAAGTTATGTCGTTGTTTACAGTCGTCGCATTTTCTACAGTTTCATTTTCGAATGGATACGAAAAAAAAAATGCGTGACGTAATTTTTACGTAAGTCAATATTCTGGACACAGTTTGCTGCACCTCTAAAGGCGTCTCGGTGCCGCAAATGCACATAAAACGAAGAAAGAAAGAAAAGAACCCGACTGTTATCCAACGTCAAGAGTCAAAGTCTCTCGAGTTCCTCGACGTCGCCAATGTTATGACATCTTATCCTCCATTTAGCGATGTTAAATAACATTCGGCTACAATTTCGTGTATTTGATTAATCGATATCGTTTGGTTTAAGTGTTATTATCATCGTTACATAAAGCACGCAAAGCCGGAGAGTTGTAGATGTTTCCAAACACGAGCGAGGCGTATTTGCTATTACTGTTTCCAAAACAGGAGCGATTGCTAATTTGTAATTAATTGAAGGTAATTAAGCAGCTTTCTCATTCTTTTTTACTATGCTAATTCTTTGCAGCCTCCGGAGGTTTCTGCGTATCGGGATTTGCTGTTGCTCATTAGGAACTCGTATGCATCTGCATCTGCTTTGAATAATTTTCATTTCGAAATGTCCGGACAAACATATTTGCTAATTAGTAACTGCAAGAAATCTAATAATAAAACGTAGGAATTTCAACTGTTAGCAACACTTTCCAGTTCATGAATTTATGTATGAATCATGTACTCAATGCTATTAATTACAAGAAAAATTAGTAAAGAAAAATACAATTTTGTACTAGAAATTATTACAGTTGAATACTTAATTTTTTTATTAATTATCAATAGTAAAACTTTAAAGAAATTATGTAACAAAGGTAAATCGTTAAGAAATTAAATATTTCAGTTTTGCTTAAATTTAAAAATCAGAATTTTCAAAACTAATTCATATTTGTCTTACACCAATAGTTAAGCAATATTTTTTTCAGTTTTTAAGAAAATGGGTGATCTTTTCCTATAATTATGTTGAAGCAAAACTAATGATATTCTTGTATAACATAGGCAATGTGTTGAAGTAAGAAATCTTAACATCATTCCTATACAAACAATTCACACGACTGAAGAATCTCGTGATCGAGGAGCAGTTGAGAGGAAAACTTTCTAACAAATAAACTGTATTTACAAATCTCAATAATCCAGAAATAATTATTTAACAGTGAGTTCGTTCAACTTTAAATTAAATTAAATAAAAAAAATAAATTTGATAAAATTTATATTACCAAAAAATTTTGTTAATTTGTTACACATTGAAGCATGAAAATTGAACTTTTTTTCTTCTGATGCTCGAAAACCCGTAAAATTAACAGCATTAACATTCCTGGAAATCATTAAAGAATGAATAAAAAAAAGTAAATAATGTGTATGTATTTTATACATAAGTAAATTAACTGCTTAATGAGATTTTAAGCTTGATGACTAAAAATGGTATCGGTCGAGATCCGCATTTTTTCGATCGTTTACGTAGTAGACTTTACACGTAGCGTCCAGTCTGCGTTTTGTTAGCCTTAAAAATAAGAAAGTTGCCATTAATTTCACTTTCATTTATGCACATAAACTGATTTATAGGAGATATAGCGAAGAAAACTTTACCCGAGGCTACTAGAATCGTATCGCTAAACGTAGAGTCACGTACAAAATAAAACCGGATTTTCGGTTATTAATTTCATCGATTTCATTAATAACCAACGAATTAGAAAGAGAATGTTGCATGTCTGATGGTAACACGTGATGAATTAACTTAAGCTTTAACTAAGGTCTAATAATTAATTATTATTTTAACACTTGTTAACTAACAACATTTGCATATTGATGTTTTATTAATTAAATAATTGTTTACGTTCAAAGTGATTTAATTGCATGAAAAATTCATAATATTAATTGTTATTTTGCACACGCAACTAAGTTTGTTGAGAATTTCATCAACTGCATCAATAATTCAATGAAAAATGAATCGTGTTTAATCGCAAATAAATATAATTTGTAATTAACAAATTATTACGATCATTGTAACAATTACACGTAGTATTTATGTAACTTTAATGCAAACATGTGTTTCGCTTCACGTTTTACATTGTTACGTGTTTCGTTCATAAATATTTATGAAAAGAAAGTGAAAACCGAAAATTATAAAAAAAAATAAAATTTATACGTTTTTTAAACTTTTGATAAATCTTAATTTATTCCACTAAAAATAATATGAAATATGCATAATAATGTTAATACGATGAGAAATAACAAAAAAAAATATTTCGAAAGTTTAAACGTATTTTTTTTATAATTTGTGTTAAAAGTTCTCTTCAATCTATTGGTTCAATATTATTAATTTTTTTGTGAATCTACTTTATAATTAAAATAGATTATTTTCTTATTATAAAAGTTTAATTGTAAGAAATAAAAAGTCTTTCAATAATGTAATTATTTCAATTCAAGAAAGTCAATTTCTCTCGAAAATTTAAAAATTAATAACGAAGGTGACTTTTGTCTATAATTATTGAAAATAGCTATGCAATGCGGGTATAATTTCATTAATTATAATCTAGGAAATGCAGCAAGCTTTCAATGCTAAATTAAATTATTCCAATTTCAATAGATGTAGCACAAATAAAATAGAAATTAACAAAAGTGTAACAGTTTTTCTCTTAATCTTATGATCGTTTAAGAAAGTTATTAATTTTGGATAGGCTTTCTATTTTTCTGATCATTTACTCAATCAAAAAAACAAATAGAAAATACAAAAATTTTAATTCAGTCTTCAACAGAATCTAAATAATAAAATTAATAATTTTGCAAATTTGTTTATGCAATAACAAAAATAAGAAGTAAAAATTGTTAGATAATAATACTTTGTAAAATAATAAGTTTGCATATATTAAGTAAAATGTGTTTAGATGTTATTAGAATTGAAAGTATTACTTATTGACTGTGCGTTTGTTAGAAGTGTAATTATACGAAAGTGATGTTTTTATAAAAGTGTAGTTGTAAATTTGTTAAATGAATAAGTAATAGTTTGGTGAAGAATGTAGAAAAGTGTGTTGGAAGTGAAAACAAGTAATATTTTTTGTAATAATAAAATGTATTATTTAATTGGTTGTATATGTTAAATTAATAAGAAATAATTTGATGAAGAATTGAGAAAGGTGTGTTGTTTGTGTAAGAATGTTACTTTTTATTTAAATAATAATTTTTAGTTGTTGATTAGTTAAATTTGGTGATGAATAAAGAAAAGTGTGTTGGAAATGCAATAAATTATTTGTTTTTCAATAATTAAAAGTAGTTGGTAATTGATTAATTTGGGTAAGGTGTGTTTATAATTTAAGAAAGTTACTTTTTTGTTTAATAATAGAAATTTAATTTTTAATTGGTTAAATTTGGTAAATGAATAAATGATGATTTCGTGAAGAATAAAGAAAAAGTGTGTTGGAAGTGCAAGAAAGTAATAATTTTTAAATAATAAAATATAGTTTGTAATTGGTTAAATATGGTGAATTAATAAGTAATAATTTGATGAATAAAAAATAAAAGTGTGTTGGAAGTGTACATTTTCTTAGTAGTTGGTTAAATATGGTAAATTTATAAATGAACAAGTAATAAGAAGAATTGAGAGAAATGTGTCAGTAGAACAAGAAAGTAACTTTTTTTATTAATAATAAATTGTAGTTGTTAATTGGTTAAATTTGGTAAATGTATAAATTAATAAGTAATAATTTGGCAAAGAAGGAACAAAAGTATGTTGGTTGTTAACTATTAAATTAACTATTTTTTTGAAATAATAAAATTTAAAAAATTGCTTACATTTGGTAAATGCATAATATGTAATAATTTAGTTAAAAATAAAGAAAAGTGTGTTGGAAGTGTAAGCAACTAATAATTTATAAATTATAAAATAGTTGGTAATTGGTTAAATTTGGTAAATTCAGAAATGAAAAAGTAATAATTTGGTGAAAAATGCAGCAAAATGTGTTAGAAGTGCAAGAAAGTAACTTTATATAAAATAAGAAAATTTAGTTGTTAATTGGTTAAATTTGGTAAATTCATAAATAAATAAGTAATAGTTTGGTCAATAATAAAGAAAAGTATGGAGGAACTGTAAATAATAAAATGTAGGTGCTAATTGGTTAAATATGGTAAATTTATAAAAGAATAAGTAATAAATTGGTAAAGAACAAAGAAAAAGTGTAAGAAAGTTAGAATGTTTGTAATAATAACATTTGGTAAACGTGTAAATCAATATGTAATAATTTGGTTAAGAAAGAAGAAAAATGTGTTGAAAGTGTAAGAAAGTATTTTTTAAATAATATGATGTAGTTGTAAATTGGTTAAATTCATAAATAAGTAATAATTTGGTTAAGAACAAAAAAACGTTTGTTCGAAGTGTAAGAAATTTACTTTTCTAAATACTAAAAAATAGTTGGTTATTGGTTAAATGCATAAATGAACAAGTTGTAATTTTGTAGAGAATTCAATAAAAGAAAACGACTGTTTCGTCATTCAGAGAGTTTTCCAAATAGCTGAGAAGAAATTGTGGAAATAATCGTTTGTTCTCCATAAGAATCGATCAAAAGCTGCTTTTATTTTTTTCACTCTTGCTTTGTTGCTTCGTTCTTATGTAAATTGAAAAAAAAAAACTAAAGAACAGAAAGTGATGGGTTCGTGTACTTTCACGCGAGTTTCTGCCACGTACGTGTGCATCAATCGTTTATTTATTTATATATTTACTCAAGGGAAAAAACACAAAAATTAAACGATTTTCTGCGAAACATATGCTCGAAAAAGGCGCTTTCTTCGTGCAGAACGAACGAGGCCAGAGATCTGCTACTACGGCAGCAGCAGCAGCAAACACACGCGAATTGCGTAAAAATATGGAGCAAAACCACATTCTAATTATTATATAAAAGCGTTATATAAGGAATAACGAGTGATTTGTCGATTTGCACTTACGTTCTTTGTATGGCCATTTTTTCGTTGCTCCTCACGGATTAAACAAAGTCAAATTGATCTCTTTGTTTCTTTGATTCGATTGATTATCGTTGGATAATTTTATTTATTTATTTATTATTATTTTTTTTTCTTTGTAGATGTACGAAAACTGTTGATGTGAACTTGCGACTAGGGGCGGTTAAGCACCGCACTGACCGTCCACTCTGCTCACTAAACTAACAACACACTGTACATTCTGCAAGACAACTTTCGCCGACGCAAGTAACCGGCCGCCAACGGTGAGGACCGCTTTTATACCCTCTCTCCGTTTTACCACTGACCCATATACCACCTGCGCCACCCCCACACGCCACGCCACCCCATCTGGGAAGCACGCAATTGCACGGACACCTGTCGAGCGCTAATTGGTCGTGTCGCGATTACCAAAAAAAAAAGAAGAGAAGAAAACAAAAGAAGGAGAAGCTGCCTAGGATCCTCTCTTTCCTCTCGAGAAGAGATCAGGATGAAACGGTAGCACAATAAAAAAATAAGAGAAAGAAACGAAGAGATTTAACAATAAAAAAAAGTAGAAAACTATTTATTGGAGATAGCGTCATTCAGGTGACTTCAATGAGAGGTCAAGAGAGGAACATCTCCAAAAAATTTCTACTCTCTGTATTAATTAAGCATTGTCTGCAAAAAACAAACGAAAAAATAGATGAACATAACACATTCATTTCTCACCTACAAATTAATATTTAATATTCCATTCAATTTCTGTTTCTTTCATTTAAAAAAAAAATGTTTTTTGCTTTATTCACACGCACGGGTCGTTAACACTTTTAAAATACAATTTAGCTGTTTCCTTCGGCGCGGAATTAGAAAATAAATCGAATTTAAATTTATAAAAGAAACTTCACTTAAATGCAAAACGTTCGATTCCATTTTCTACATCGATAACCAAAAAAAAAACAGAACTAATTCAGTTTCTATTTCTTTTTTTGTTCTTTCTGTATAAATGCACCGCATTAAGAATTAATTATTGTTTCAAGTAAAAAAACTCTTTCTTTACATCATGCATTACAGAAACTTTGAAAAATTATACAACAATAAACTAAATTGATAAAAAAAAGTGAAAATTACATAAATAAACGTGAAATTAATGTTTTGGAAATATTTATAAAAAAATATAGTAAAAATTTGAATAATTTTATAAAAAAAAATATTTGATATTAAGAATTTACATTATTTTATGAATGTAACCTATTTACATATAAATATTAAAAAAAAATACTACCAACGTAATTTTTTGTAAACTTTTATACATTTTATGTAAATTTTCATAAATATTTTACAAATATCTACAAAATTTTAGTATTTTATGAGAACAATTTTATACTAATCAATTATTTTTAAAAATAATTGATCTTAAATTAAAAATGTACATTATTTTAATAAAGTAACTTTTTATTCCACACTTTCATATAATTTTCACACACAAGAATATAGAAACAAAAAGTAAATAATTGATAGAATTAATTGAAGATTTTTAAACAATTAGATTATTTTCAATACAACTCATATTTTGTATTGAAACGTTTTTCCATATAAACATTGAAAATATAATTGTTTGTATACTTTCATAGATTTACATAAAAACAAGTTTGAACAAATTTATAGAAAAACAATAAAATTAAGAATTTACATTATTTTGTAAATAATTTCTACTTACATTTTCAAATATAAATATTGAAAAAAAGTTAATATTTTGTTATATTTTTTTAATTACTTTTTTCTATTTACTAATTCAGAAACAAACAAAAATATAAAGCAATCATTACATATTTTGTAATACTTATAGTTTTAAACTGAGAATCTTTTTTTTTAAATTCAATTGCAAAGAATGTCAGGAATCTACATTGTCTGAACATTTACATTTCCCCGAGGTTAAATCTTACTTCCGCTCACTCGGATTCATATTATTTTTATCTAAAAATATTATTACTATATGTTTGCAATAAGCTTTACATTTTGTAGAGCAAAACATTCAGACATGAATCATTGCTTTCGTACTGCGGTGACTAATTCCATACCATTATTATGGAGTTTCGTTGTCGAAATAAACGATAAACTTCTGCAATTAAAGACTAGATTAATACAAAAAATAAAATTGACCTACCAGTTTTCCTTGAATATTAAATTAAATAGAATCGATTTTTATTGATCAACTGTTACTTTTATAAGGTTTTCGAGATCTCAATAATCTTCATTATAATTTAATTTAATACAAATATTAAGTAACCTTTTCTACTTTGATGATCTTAAACTGCTTTTTTTTCATCGTTATCAACTAATTAATATTTGATGAAATCATCTTATTTAATCGCTTTTAAAACATTAATTTCATTAATTTTAATAAAGAAAGTAGACAATGTAATCATTGTCAATTCAATTCAATATTTGTAGTAATATTAATTAAGTCATTTCCACTATAATTTGGGTATTAAAATTAACATAGATTTAGTAAGTTTCAATACCCAAAATCGAAAAAAAGTAAATTACAGTATATTAAAATATCAACGAAATTTGATTGTAATTATATTTGTCAATATTTTAGTATGCATAGATTTAGTAAGTATTTAAAAGTCAACATTTGTCTTTGTTAAATACATTTTATTAATGTGAAGTGTTTGAGGTTATATTTACTTAAGCACTTGAAACTACTTTTATTAATGATTTTGTATATGACTTTAATATAAAATTGTTTTACTTAGAAAATTTGGAAAGTTTTAATAGTTTAAATCAAACAAATTTATTGATTTATATACAAAGGTATAATGAAAATTGGAAAAAGTAATTATCTTGAAAAAAAAAATAATTTCATATTTACTTTTTGATTATAAAAACTGTTATTTATTTGTATTTGTGTATAATATTGACTGTGTTTTTTAAAAAAGGACAAATATATTTTCTTGGTTTTTAAATTATTAAATTAATTGTTGTATTTTTTTTATTAATATCTTTAAATTGAAGTCAAATTTCTAAAATTATGGAAAAACCTAAATCAATAAAAACCAAGGTCTATTATTCAGGAATCCATTACTAAATTCTTATTAGAATCAGAGCTTGTTCAATTCGCGGTAATCGAATTTTTGGTATGACGATTCCAATGTTTCCCAGAACATTAAAGCAACGGAATTAGAAATTTCTGTCGCAACTGTGCTTCTGCAATTGGCCGCGTCTCGTCTATTGCACGGAGCGAAACAAGTTTTATTTTATTTTTTCGTCGAAGTGTAGGTTTGTGTGCAAGATTTACGAGGATTTTTAACAATAATCGACGTGTTTGAGGGACGGCCTTAATCGCATGGGCGTCGTGAATCAGAATACGGAATTTCCGAAAAAAAAACGTAATAACTCCAAAGTGCATTCCCTCAACAGGAAATGGAAAGGAAGACATTTGTAAATATCGGCACGTATCCAACAGGAACTCTCGTCTGTTTCTCTTCACTTGGAAGGCAGCCAAGAAAGTATCTCTCTTTCCTTCCTTTCCACGCTTTTATTACGTTTCCCGTACATTCGACATCTTAATTAACAATTAGATGTTACAAAGAGGAGCGAAATGGAAACGAAAAAATAATGAAACAAAGAAGGTTAACTTTAATTTTTATAAATTTCGTGGCAGGAAATTAAGGTGTTCTTAATTAAACTACTGTAGTAATTTCCTTTTTTTTTCAACACGCCGAAATTGCGCAAAAATTTGAAAATTAAGAAACGAACTAATTGACGGTTTCCTTGGAATTGTCGAAAATTTGAATTGGTTTTAGCAGAAGCGAACGTTAAAAACTAATCGACGGTTTCCTTCAAAATGTCGAAAATTTTATATTTTTAGCGTCATTAGCGTTTCCTAAATATATATTCGAAAATATCCCCGTTGACGTAATGAATCGTGTAAAACATATTGAAAGATTCTTCGCATTTCAATAATTTCTGTTTCTGTATTCAATTCGTTGTACTCGTACCGTCGTTTCCTTGTACTTTTTTTTTGTTTGTTTTGAATACGTTTATTGCTGGATTAAATTCGATTCCTTGATGTGTTTTAACCGGTATTTCGTTGCAGAAGAAGTCGCATTTTTTTTTGTCGTATATTGATGATTAATGGATTTATCTGAATATGGAAAGCTTACATTTTGCTTTTGCTCTGAACGATCGAAATTTAGTTCATGTTCGAGAAAGTTTAGATAAAAAAAATATATATATATTAAGAGTAATACTTCAAATGTAAAAACTAGTTTCAGTTTTTAGTTTGAATGAGAAGATAAAGTATATTTATTTACAGATATATAAACAATCTTGTGTAATATATTAGAAAATTTACAATTAATTATTGATTTTTAATTATACAAAGTAAATATTTCCAAAATTAATAAGAATTTTCAATGATTTATTTCCATTTTAATGAAATTAAATTAAAGGAAAAAATCCTCAAACTTTATGTTAAAGTTTAAAACTAAAATTTAATTGTTTATGTGTTAAAAAATCATCATTAAAAGTTTGTCACCAGTTCCTCAATTTGACAGCTGTCATTTCGCGAACCAGAATTATGAATTATTGTAAAATGATTTAAAAAAAACAATAAAATTAAAGGAAAAAAATCCTCAAACTTCTTGTTAAAATTTAATTGCTTATTGATTTACTCTTTGGTAAAAAATCATCATTAAAACTTTAAGTTTGTCACAAGTTCCTCGATTTGACAGCTGTCATTTCGAGACCCATTAAAACTTTAAGTTTGTTACCAGTTCCTCGCTTTGATATAAGGTAACAGCTGTCATTTCGCGACCCACTAAAACTTTAAGTTTGTCACCAGTTCCTCGATTTGACAGCTGTCATTTCGAGACCCATTAAAACTTTAAGTTTGTCACCAGTTCTTCGCTTTGACATAAGGTGATAGCTGTCATTTCGCGACCCATTAAAACTTTAACTTTGTCACCAGTTCCTCGCTTTGACATAAGGTGGCAGTTGTCATTTCGCGACTCATTAAAACTTTAAGCTTGTTGCCAGTTCCTCGCTTTGACACATGGTGACAGCTGTCATTTCGCGACCCAGACTTTTGAATTATTATAAAATGATTTAAAAAACAATTAAATTAAAAGAAAAAATCCTCAAACTTCTTGATAATGTTTAAAACTAAAATGTCTTTGCTTATTGATTTACTCTTTGGTAAAAAATCATCATTAAAACTTTAAGTTTTTCACCAGTTCCTCGATTTG